GTAAGCAATTTTTTTTGTTTAGTTACATATCTTAGTTATTACTTTGTTACTAGCTGTCTGGACCTGTAAATTATGGGTCATGGTTTTACACCTACCATTTTTATACTTATTCTTTATATGATCACTACTATATTCAAGGTTTTTTAAGAAACATCTTGACTAGCAGATTTATCTAATTGATTACTTAAAACTGTTAACAAAAGCATAAACTTTAATATCTCTAATATTTCTTCCAGTGATTTACTAAATTTTTATTTATAATAAAGTTTAGAACCACCAAATAAAACCCCTCACCCTTATGCATATTCTGCAGGTTTGAAAAATTATTTTAATTAAAAGTAATCACGATTCTAAATCAAAAAAAGCTTTTACCAAAATATCAAAACAAAGTAGTAAAACAAGATAGTTTGAATTCTTATTTACACACACACACACACACACACACGCACACACGCACGCACGCGCACACACACACACATATATATATATATATATACATATATATGTATATGATATATATATATATATATATATATATATATATATATATATATATATATATATATATATATATATATATATATATATATATGTACATATATATGAATATATATTTTTCAACATCTTCACTTCCAACAAGGCTGCAAGCAACCACTATTAGAGTTGGAAGTTACTGGTAGAGAAAAGATAAAGTTTATAGAGCAAGATAACAATTGACAGACAACTTAAAAGATTGCAAATTATGTAAATTAGGAAAAGAAGATAAAGCAAGCAAATTTTAAAAAACTGATGTTCGAGAAAAAAAACTAGAATTTTATTTATTTTGAATAAAAAATTTTTGAGCATTTAAGAACAGAAACAGTAAAAGGATGAGAAATAATTGAATGATGAGTAACACGAGAATGAATTTTAATAGATGGCACAAAAGATACTAGCTTTTTAGAGCTGTACCCATTATAGTATTTATTGAAAAAAGAAAGAGAAGCAACATGATAATCATGACCATGATAACCATGACGATGATGTGATAACAATAATCACGACAATGATATGATAACTACAACAGTGATAACTTTGACAAAGACATGATGTCATGATGACATGACATCACAACAACAATAATTACAATGATGACATGACATCACAACAACATGATAATCACAATGGTGTGATAATGGTTAGAGCTTGGTTGTAAGAGCAAGTCTGACTGTTTACAATGCATTTTGTCTAAAAGAATATCATACAATGCACCTTGTCTAAAAGAAAATTTAAAGATCCGCCCCATCAGAACATAATGATCACCCTCAAGGGCATCATTTAAAGATCCACCCCAGATATTAAGGGGTAAACAGATTCTATCTGTTGACCCCTTTAATATTAAGGGGTAAACAGATATTAAGGGGTAAAACAGATATTAAGGGGTAAACAGATTCTATCTGTTGACTTAAGGGGTAAACAGATTCTATCTGTTGACCAGCCTCGCACCCCTTCCTCACCTATTAGGCTGGCGCAGATGTATTTTTAATACATTGTTTCCAGTTTAGGATGTTGAATGCTGGATCTTCTTGACTCAATGCGTGGGTATTGCTTGTGTCTCTATTTTTATGACTGGGCAACTCATTCTATTATCTCCTAATGAGGGTACAGCTCTAAAACTCAGTTTTATGGTTCTGAGGCCGGCTGGTAGTCAGGTTTCCCGAACTCTGTGGTAGCTCTCAGAGAGGCTGATTCCATCAACAGCCGAAAAATATCAGAGTACTAACAGTGCCATGTTGCGCATGGATGGTGTCCCTATTTGTACTTTTGGTGTGCATTGCAGAGGCCACATTTGGAGCCCTTTGTTACGGCTTAGGGTTTATTAATAGTAATGAGGCTATTGCTTAGTTGTTAAATAGTGTACTGAGTACTATATATACTTGAGTCAAGTTCTTTATAAATTTAAAATGACTAAAGTACCTAAAACTAAAAAACACAAAAAACCATCGTCATCACCAAGTTCTCTAAACCTATCATTTACTAATATTCGTGGTCTTCGAAGTAACTTTTCTTCTGTTGAGTCTTATCTCTTGCAAAGTTCACCAGACCTACTTGCTCTTTGTGAGACTAATTTGAGTTCGGCTGTCCCATCTTGTGATCTTAGTGTTGATGGTTATCTTCCTTTAATTTGTAAAGACTCCAATAATCACATGCCTGGCCTGGGCATCTACATTCGTAAGAACTCACATATTTGTCGTGAAACTAGGTTTGAATCTACAGACTATTCATTTATGTGCTTTCATTTAGCACAACTTCACTCTATCGCCGTTCTCTTTGTTCTATATAGCTCTCCTTCATCCCAAGATTGCACTATTCTTGATGTTATTTCTGATCAAATTGACCAAGCCCTCTCTCTTTATCCATCGGCCAATATCGTCGTTGTTGGTGACTTTAATACCCATCACACCGATTGGCTTGGCTCTAGTGTCAGTGACTCTGCTGGCGTTAAGGCCCTCAACTTTTGCCTTTCTCAATCTCTAACTCAAATAGTCAACTTTCCAACTCGTTTTCCAGACAACCCTAATCATTTACCTTCTCTACTCGACTTATGTCTTGTTTTGGATCCTAGTCAGTGCTCAATTTCTCCACATTCACCCTTAGGTACTTCTGATCACGGTTTGATCTCTCTAAAACTATTATCAAATTCTTCTACTTCATCAGAATCCCCCTATCATCGTACCACATACAACTACCTTAAAGCTGACTGGGACTCTTTCCGTGATTTTCTTCGTGATGGCCCTTGGGCAGAAATCTTTCGTCTTCCTGCTGACAAATGTGCTTCTTACATAACTTTGTGGATTCAGGCTGGCATGGAATCTTTTATTCCCTCTAGGCGATTCCAGGTCAAGCCTCACTCTTCTCCTTGGTTTTCCTCACATTGCGCTGCAGCAATTTCTAATCGAAACCGTTACTTCCATATCTATCAGCAAAACAATTTTCCAGAAAACAGACATCTGTTCACTATCGCCAGAAACCATTGTAAAAAGGTTTTGTCTGACGCCAAAGCTCGCTATTCCCAGGTCATTAAATCTCGTATCTCATCACAAAAATTAGGCTCTCGAGACTTCTGGAGAATCTTTAACAGTATCAATAATAAGGGCAAATCTGTTATTCCTTCTCTCTTGTATGGTTCAGACTTTGTCACCTCACCTAAAGACAAAGCTGAATTGTTTGCTAAGAACTTTTCATCAATATCATCTCTTGATTCCACTAGTTGCGTTTTACCTGACATAGCCGTCAAACAGGTTGATCCCTTGCTTGACATTCGCATCACTTCAGCTTCTGTATCTAAAGTAATTTCCTGCTTAGACTCTTCAACAGCTTGTGGTCCTGACAACATTCCTGTTGTAGTCTTGCAGAGGTGTTCTCCGGAGCTTTCATCCATACTTTCTAAACTGTTTAACAAGTGCTTATCAGAGTCTTGTTTTCCATCATGCTGGAAAGCAGCATCTGTTATCCCTATTTTCAAAAATTCCGGAGAGCGATCTGATTCATCTAACTACCGTCCCATTAGTCTTCTTCCTGTCATAAGCAAGGTTTTTGAATCTTTAATCAACAAACACTTAATCTCTCATCTTGAATCAAATAACTTACTTTCTGATCATCAATATGGATTTCGGTCTTCTCGTTCTACAGCTGATGTGCTAACAGTAATAACCGACAGGTTTTACCGTGCATTAGATAGAGGTGGAGAGGTTAAGGCTATCGCACTTGACATTTCTAAAGCTTTTGATAAAGTTTGGCATGCTGGTCTTCTCCATAAGCTTTCTTCTTATGGTGTAGCTGGTAACGTCTTTAAGATTATTGAGTCCTTTCTTTCCAATCGTAGTATAAAAGTTGTCCTCGATGGACAACACTCTTCTTCACATCCTGTAACTTCAGGGGTTCCTCAAGGTTCAATCCTTGGCCCTATACTCTTTTTAATTTACATTAACGATCTTCCAGATATTCTCACATCTAAGGTGGCATTATTCGCTGATGACACTACCATTTACTCTTGTCATGATAAGAAGCCTACACTCTCTGATTGCTTGGAGGGGGTATCTGAGCTTGAAAAGGATCTCACTTCTGCTACAGCATGGGGCTCACAGTGGCTGGTGAACTTTAATTCAGATAAAACTCGGTTTTATTCGGCCAATCGTTATCGTAATAGTTTGGATCTTCCTATATTTATGAATGGTGGTGTACTGGATGAGTTGTCTACCATTCATCTTCTAGGATTAACTCTTACTTCTGATCTTTCTTTTAAACCGTATATCAAGTCCATTGAAAAATTAGCATCTGCTAAGGTTGCATCTCTTTATCGAGCTCGACACTTTCTTACTCCAGATTCTATTCTCTATCTCTATAAATCTCAAATCCGTCCCTGTATGGAATACTGTTGCCACATCTGGGCCGGATCTTCTAATGATGCTCTTTCTCTTTTAGACAAGGTGCAAAAACGAATTGTAAACATAGTTGGACCTGCTCTGGCAGCCAATCTCCAACCTTTGTCACATCGTCGTAATGTTGCTTCTCTTTCTCTTTTCTACAAATACTATAATGGGCACTGCTCTAAAGAGCTAGCGTCCCTTGTGCCATCTACTAAAATTCATTCTCGTGTTACTCGCCATTCAATTAAGTCTCATCCTTTTTCTGTGACTGTTCCTAAGTGCTTCAAAAACTCTTATTCTTCTAGTTTTTTTCCTCGAACATCAGTTCTTTGGAATTTGTTTCCTTCATCTTGCTTTCCTGATTCATATAATTTGCAATCTTTTAAGTCATCAGTCAATCGTTATCTTGCTCTACAGATTTAGTCTTCTCTCTTCCAGTAACTTCCAACTCTTATAGTGGTTGCTTGCAGCCTTGTTGGAAGTGAAGATGTTAAAAAAAAAAAAAAAAAAAAAAAAAAAAAGATATGGCAACAGTAATTCATACAAGGATGGATTTGAGATTTATAAAGATAGAGAATAGAATCCAGAGTA